ACAACTTCTATACAACGAAAGGAGACTGCGACCACACAAAAGGCCACACCATCTTGGTCTTTATATCTTGCTGAACATAGTTTGCCAATGCAATGGACTGGTCCAAAACACAATGTTTTGCGGGTTTTGGGGAGTTCATGTCAAAGCGTAAGATTAGGGAGTCTATGTAAATTGACAAAACAGCCAACGTCCTGAATAGGAGAAACGAGTGTTGAAAAGTGAGTATGAACTATTTGTGGCTGTTGGATAGACTTAAGGAAAAGGAGTGAGGGGGTGTAGGAAGAGCCACTGAGCAAGAGAAGGTGGTTGGATTAGCCTCAAATCTAGTTAGGACTATCATACTTCCCATGACATGAGCATTACATACACACAATGGACAATAGCACAACCCCAAAGATGATTCCGCATTAGGCGATCGTACGCTAGTTTTGTGTGTGATGAAACAGCTGTAACCGAACGCATTTCCGGTTCGGTAAGTTAACTTCACTCATTTGCAAGCCACATCACGAATTCCTTCCAAGCAACTTTCCCTTCTAAATAAAGAGTCATACCACAAAGTAATCATAATGACTAGTGAATAAACTCAATAATCTGAGATAAGTTATCGCCTAACTTTTATTCTTCACATTTATACGTCTGTGATCTACACATTTGTTGGTATTTTTCATTTGAGAATTGCGATAAGAAGCAAGTATGTAAACCCAAATTTTTGATTAAAATGCAAAACTCGAAACCTCCTCCTTAAATGAACAATTATTTAAAACAGCAATAATGTCAATCTGTTGGATACTTAAAATAAAGTAATGTAATAATCACTGCGTAAAATGTTAAAATTTGGTAGGCAAGAAGGCGGAGGGGATCAGTATTACAGTTATTTCTATCGTAGGACAAATGTAGTTTTTTAGTAAAAATATATTTTTCCTAAATAAAATTCCTGCCTCAAAGCAGACAAAAGAGGTGTCGATTCCATGCTAATATTAGACAACTAAAGCATTCGGCAGCACGAAACGCAGGTGATGGTCGTCCTAAGTAGTATAGCCATTTTAATGCTTTACAAATGAATTGGGGTGTCGTGAAGAGACCAACTAACCTGTTTGCTTTCATCCACTGCGCCCAAATAACGCAAGACTGGTCGAATGCCTAGAGCAGCCGCATTTGGCATCAGCGAGCGCCTCACTCGTATCATGACTCCTGATGAACTGGAGCCTGGGAACCCGGAAGGGAGACCAGAGGTACCGGAGCCGGAGGTAGTCGCGGGGTTGGAGCTAGTACCTGTGGCCTGGGAGCTAGAGATCGGATTTGAACCCCCAGCAGTGGCAGGGGCGGTCGAAGCGGACGACGAGACACCGGATGCGGAAGTGTTGCTAGGAGGGTTCCCAGTTGTACCCCCGACCGCAGGAGATGAGGCCGCCGGGGATGCGGAACTGCTGGAAGCAAGACCAATAGGATTGCTACCGACAAGGCTGGTTTGGTCGAGCGGATTTGGAGGCGGCAACTCAAAAGCGATTTCGTGTTCAGTGAAATGGGCCCAGCTTTGACTAAGACCTCGAAGACGCGTTGTAAGCAGGTCAAACTGTTCAGCTGAAGATACGACAGCCTAACGCCATAGTGATGATTGTGGAGTGGAAAGATGTCGAATTAAGCAGAGGGAGTTGTAAGCATGTAATTATGCATGGTTAACAGGTAGCTTTGTGGGTTTTATGGCAATTTGGGAGGTTGAACAATAGAATTGGGTTTTACATGTGGGGCATGCTGTTTCTTTTTATACACATATCTATGAATTTATATATGTGTGAATATGTTTGCCTATGTACGTATGCATGTGTGCCGGTAGCAAGAAGAGGAAACGTATATCCCTGTCAAACATATGATTTGGCTTATGACAGGTTGTTTCTGGGGTCGGTCGAAAATTTGTCTATGAATGTGTTAGAACAGAGGGGAGTGGCATGAGAAAAAAGGAGTTAATTTGAGTGATATGTGGGAGGCTTAATGCCCATGCGAGCTTTAAGATTTATTCGAGATGTGGCAAAAGGAAAAGTCTAAGAATGGTATGAAAATTGTTGATATCCAAAATATGATGAGATAAGCATACCGAAGATAAAGCAAGGTTCCCAGCAATTTGAAATCAAATGTATGCAATAAAAGAATGCATTGAAGTTGTTTGACCTTGTTTTCGCAACATGGTCATATTGGTAGGAAAACTTATTGGAACGCACCTAGTCCGGG